ATAGCTTCCCATTCCTTAAGTGTGGGCTACGCATAACTTTATTCCGAAGAGTATAGGGTGGAAAGGGGGGCAAAGAGATAAACAGTGGAGAAACCTGACAACTTCCACAGTTTTTCTCTCCAAAAGCCACAATCTCAGTCTAATAATGAGAAAACCATCAGATAATACCAACTGACGACCATTCCTGAAAACTGTCAAAAACAAAAGCAAGAGAAGTTTTTATTACTGCCATAGCCAAAAAGATCCTAGAGAGACTTGACTATGATATGCCGTGCGGCATCCTCAATAAGGATCTTGGAATTGAGAAAAGCAAGTAAGTAAAAATGAGTAAATCTTAATAAAGAATGAATTTCAGTTAACAAAAATAAAAACTAAAAAAAACAAGGTCTAAGAAATTCTGGTCGCAAGTACTGCCTCATCCGTCGGGTCCCGTGACTGTGTTAGCCGCAGGCTGGACCTCTCCGCTCCAGCGATGGGGAGACAGAGGCTCGCGCAGGGGCGGGAACTCGGGGGCCCCAGGACTGACGCACGCGGTCGGCGAGCGCCGAGGCGCTTCTCGGCGTCCCTGGAGGGAGCGTGGCTGATGAAAGGCGGCTCCCAGCTCGGCTCCGACGCAGGCCCGGGGGAAGGGTTCCCTCTAGGCCGCGGAGCGAAGTTGGCAGGCGGCTCCTCCCGGTGGGGTGACCGCGCGGGCGGCCCGGCCCGGGGGCGGGACCGGGAAGGACGGCGCGCGACGCGGGCAGCGGGCGGGGCGCAGGCGGCAGTGCCCGGAGGCCGCGGCGCGGAGGGGCGGCGGCGCCCCCGACCTTCCGCGTCCCCGGACGGAGGCGGCGGCCGAGCGCTGGCGCCGGCGGGTGAGTGTGCGCGACCCCGGGGCGCGCCCCGTGCGCGTGCGCGCGCTCGCGCGGCTGCGAGCCCAGATTGGAGCAGCTCGGAGCCGCGCTGCGCGGCCTCCCGGGCACCCTCATCGCAGCCCGGAGCTTCTTTGGGCTTCCTTACCCCGCGCGTCGTGCGTAGGAGCTACTCTTGGGTGGCCACGGGACCGTGGGGGTAATTTCTGGGATGAAGGGGACCCCCAGGTGGCGTATCCAGAACAAGACTTGAGGGCAGAGACCAGGGCAAGATACAACAACCCAAGGCCAAGTCCCGGTGTGGTGGGACACCTCCGGCCTAAAGGAGCCTGGGTTTGTTCTAGCCACCTCCCCCACGACTGGCTCCATGACCTTGGATAGTTTACTTTCGTTTCTGGGTCTTAATTTCCTCATCTGCAAAATGGGGAGCTTGGACCCATTTTCTTTCAAGAATTCTTTACTCTAAAACTTCTGTGACAGGCCGTGTCATGGCCTTTTGTTGGGACTTTCCAGTTTAACAAAAACAAAAGCTGACTTGTGAAAACTGTAGGATTGCTCTCTGCTCCCCCTCCCCCCATCCCAGTGAGGCATGCAGTACCTGGGGAGACTGGGCACTCGGTGCTTGCAGAAATGGATTCCCAAGAGGCATAAAAGACCTTTGCTCAACGGACTTAAGGATTTATCTTCCTTTGCAGGGGCTCGCCACCTAACTAAAAAAGATGGGTAACTAGAAGATCTGGTTAAAATGCAGTCAGCAAGACACTTGAGTGTATGACCAGTTAGTTGCAGGAGCCTCAAGGCTGTGCTCACTCCCTGGCTCTGCTTCCACGCTGACGTCTCTCCTTCCCAAGTCCCTGAAGGCTGGTGCTGGGCTGAGTTGCATCTCAAGCTCAGGACGAAGGAGATGTGATGTAATGGTTCAGCATCTGCTCTTGACCCTTCAGTCTTGCCAACACTGCTCCTGCCCCTCTGCAGCCTCCAGGTTGGAGGGGCTGCAGGGCGGGTGTAGAGGATGCCCTGAATGGGCCATCCTGGCCTCTGGTCTGTACCTCTTCCTACTTGACTGTCCCTTTTCTCACCTCCACCTTTGCCAAACATTTCCCCTACCCCAAAGGTACTGCGTGCACCCTCTCACTGCCTTGTTTGGTCATTGTCTGCCTCTTATTTCTCTTGCTTTGTTTGAGTTAATCTTTCCCACCATATGGTTATCCCCAGGAGGGAGGGCTGAACGGGGACTTGAGATTTTTGTTTTATAGTTGAGAAAGCACAGGACCTGGCCCTCACAATTCTCAGGGAATGCCTGGGAGTAAAAGTAGTGACTGCTATATTCCTTTAGTGATGCCCTTTGCCCACTGCTGCTCTGAGTGATTTATAAGTTTAAGCCTTACAATAATCTGAAGTTAACATTATTACCCGCATTGACATGTATAGAAACTGAGGCAGAGAGCAGTAACTTGCTCCAGGTCCCACAGGTGAGAAGCAGCAAGACAGCAGGTAACTTTTAGCAATCACACTAAACAGCCTTCATGTGAAAGAATGAACTCTCCTGATTGAGACTTTGTGGTAAGCTAATTAGGTTAACAGGGGTGCTGGGATTTCTTCTTAAAGAAAATGCCAAACTGGGGGATTTTGCAGCTAATGGAACCTTCCATGCAGTCCGGAAGGCTAGCTGGGCAGCTCCAGTTGTATTTGGTCCTTCTTGCCTGGAGGAGGGAGGGTGGGCTCCTGGGTCACCAGGCCTTGCTAAGATTCCAGTACAGCCTCTGGGCTGCAGGCTCCTAGCTGTCCTGTTACTGGGTTCCTTGTCTGGAAAATGAATCTAAGGATTGTATTTATCTGGTGGGCCTGGATGGTGATCAAAGGAGGCAGGAAAGGGCTTCAGTGATTGCCTGGAGCAGCGCAAACATCCTTGGGCTCTTGTCATTGCTTTCAAGCCTCTTTGGGGTACAAGAGAAGAGGAAGGAAGGAAGAAAGGAAGGAAGGGGCAATACTCTGAGTGGTAAATGCTCAGCAGGTGTTTGAAAGTGTCTGCTGTATGTCAGGACTGGGACCAGGTGGGAGGGAGATGGCCCCGCCCTCCCAGCGTGCAGCATCTCAGATGCCCATGGAATTTGTTGTGAGATCACACCTGGAAATGCAGTCTCCTCTACCCACTCATTTTTTAAAGGTGGTGTAAGAAGCAGGCTCAGAGACAGCTAGAACTCAGGCCCAAGGCTTAGCGGCATAAGAATTATGGGCTTGGACTCTGAATTGGGGTGGCCTGGGTTCACCTCCTGGTTCCGCAGCTTCTAGCCCACCCCCTGCTTCGCTTGGGCAGGTCCTTTCACGTCTTTGGCCCTCAGTTTTCTCTTCTGTGAAATGGGAGAAGTCTGTGAGGAAAGGGGCCTGTTTAGTGAGCATGTTACTAGATGCCATGCTTAGAGTTCCTCCTGTTATCCCCACGGCAGCTGTGCCAGGTAGGCCTCCTGGAACCCACTGTACAGATGAGGACAGCAAGGCTCAGGGAGTTAAGTACCTTGACAGTGAAGGACACAGAGAATGGGAGCAGCTGAGTGGGGATTCAAGTCCAGGCTCTTTAGCCTTAATGTCCTTGCTCTTTTCATAAGGTTTTTTTTTGCTTTCTGGTCTCAGAACCTCGTACTGAGCAGGGGGGTGGTAATAGTTAGCAAAAGGCTCATTTTCGTATATTCTTCATTGGTGGAAGCAGCTCCCAAGTGTTCTTTCAGAGTTTAAAGTTTGGGCCGGCTTCAGGGGCACACAATCTGTTCAGTCACCCACTTAGGAAGGGCCCCCCACTTGATTTAATGCTCTGCTGTCACCATCTTGAAATTCTGTGTCATTTTTCAGTGAGGAACCTCACATTTTCATTTTGCACTTGGCCCCACATTTATGTAGCCGGTCCTTCTAAAAGGACCGGGAGGTGGAAGGTCGGGGGGTGGGGGTGTGTGGGAGTCAGGCTTTGCTCTCTAGGGAACCTGAGCAGTGGTGGTCAGCCCTCCGGCCAGCTTGGAATCAAGCAGATGTATGCCAACTGGACAGTCTAGTTTCTACCACACTGAGAATCACAGAAGTAGAAAACGGTTCTAGTGGTAGTGGACTTTTTACCAAGACCGTTAGGCTGTCTGGTATGTTATCCAGGGACTTAGGCATGATTTTCCTTGGCAAGGGGTGATTCTCAGGGCCCCCGGTGGACACCTAACAGGGAGAAAGTATGTAGGTTCCAGCCAGAATGTGAGGCTTTGGAGTTGTAGTTTTGGCCGCAAGAAAATACCCATGAAGAGCATCTGCTTTTGTTGCTGAAAGTGGTTAAGGGTCATGCTTGCTGTGCTGTCACTGGCCCGGCTTCCCTGTACTTTGGAAGCAGTTCTGAGATCTAGAGCTCAGTGCCAGGAAGACACATTGCATACTCACCCTCCTTTTTTTTTTTTTTCTTTTCCTCCTACAGATAATAGGAACTATTTAACTGATAATATTTTAGCTTTGGCCACTTGGAAGTTCAAAACCAAATTCTTAGCTCAGGAAGGCAACTGTGTTAAACCTCAAGACAGCAACAACGAGGCATAGTATTTCCGAGATGCATCCTCTGCTCCAGATGTTGTTGTCTGTCCTTTATATGTATCCTCCCATTGATTCTTTGCAGCAACTGTGTGGGGAAGGTATTATTTGAAGACAGGGAGCTAAAGCTCTTTGAGGTTAAACCACTTGCTCAAGATTATAAACTAGTAGGTAGAAGAATGTTATTTAAACTGATTCATCTGAACCTGGATTCAAGAATTCATGTTCTTGAATATAAACCTCTACTACCTCTGCTTGGGACCCTGACTGCCTGTATATCAGGATAAAAATACCTTGGTTGTGACTTTTTAAAATTTATCTTTCCCACCATCATAATTTTTTTCATTTGTATTTTGCATTGTCTTCTGGGAAGCTCTTTGAGATCTTTTGTATAAGCAAGGCTCGCATGATGAATATACTTGTCCTGTGCCTGGTCGCCTGGGGTGCTCTCAGTAAGGGAAAGGAAATCCCAGGTGCCTGGGCGTGGGGCCTGGTCAGCTCGTGAGTTCTACGTGGGCCGCTGGATGTGTCTGAGCTGGAGAAGACCCGACACCAGAGGGAAGTTCTCAGCTGGGCCCTGGGAGGGGTTCAGTTCCTCCTCCTCACTCCCTCTGAGAATCCTCCTCAGCATGACCAGAAAGACCAAAGTCAGCAGGAAGCCTCCCCGGCCACTCCCTGGCCTCTTCGTGACTTTGGCCCTGGAGAGCCCATGGAGCCCCATCTGCCCAGGGCCAGGCCTGAGGTTCGTTCTTGTGCTGTTTTCTGAAGGCAAGTGACTGCTCCAGAATGAATCTCCGATCCGAGAAGGGGAAGTAGACACCCAGTCGGCTCTCTGCTATGGCCTGCGAACCGCGGATAGACCCTGGTGGGGCTGCTGGCCCATTGCCCACCCCCTCTCCTGACTGGAGCGCCCTGCCTGGGGGGAGTTCTCCCGGTTGGGGACAAGGTAAAGTCATAACCCCTAATTCCCCTCCTCCTCCCCCTAGGGTGCTGAGCTGGACTCCCACAGCATGATTGAGGGCAGGGGAGTGGAGGGGTGCAGAGTGCCACTAGATAAAGGTGGACATTTTGGGGATACTTTTCCAGGCCACTTGCTGTCATTTCTACCCATTTTGTCACCACCTCCTTTGACCAAGTCACTGTCACCCTCTGCTTGGATCCCTGCTGTCACTTGCTACTTGATCTCTTCTCCTTGTCTCTTCCATCCATTCTCTCTGTGGCATCCAGACACATCTTTTTAAAATGTACAACCAAACCATATCAATTTCTGCCTCAGTGTTTCCCACTGGGCTTAACACAAGCATTTATCATGCACCAGCCTGCAAAGCCTCCCTTAATGGGTCCTGCTGCTCCTGGTCTCTGTTCCTGCCTTACTGTTGTGCCTCAGGGCCTTTGCATCTGAGGCTGTTCTTCCTGCCTGTTGGGCTGTTGCCCTGCCTCCTTTCCCCTGCTTAATTTCCATTCATCCTCAGAGCTTAGATGAAATATTCCTTCCATGGAGAATCCTTTCCTGATGCCCCAGCTCATCAAGACCTTCTGACATATTCCTGCTTCTCTCCGTATCCCTTATAATAGTCTGTAATTAAATAATTACCTATGTAATAAAGTGTTGAATGTCCAGCTCCCTCACTAGGATGTAAGTTCCACGGGGGCAGGAGCTGTGTTGTCTTGTACATCCATGTATTGAAGTACCTAGCACAGGGCTTGGCCCATAGTAGATGTCAGTGAGTGTTTTGTTGAATAAATGAATGAATGAATGAATGAATGAACAGATGGGTGGCTGGGCATAAGCACAGGGAGACAGCATTTTGAATTGTGGCTGGTTACTTAGATGATTGAAATTTGACTACTTAAAAATGAGAGTTTCTTTCATTACTACTGTTATCAGGGAAGCAATTTACACATAGACATACACCCACCATAGAATGAAATGGAATAAAAAGTTTTTCCTTCAGAGTTTTGAAGACATTGTTCCACTGGTTTTTGGCAAGCCAGTTCTCGCTCCTTTGTAGGAAATTGTGCACACACACACATGCACACATGCACATCCTTCTTTGGTGGATTTTCAGGTTCTTTTTCTTAGCAGAGGTGTGAAAACAAGTGCTTTTAAGTGGACTACGTGCCATTCCCACTCTAGGGAACAGATTAGAGAGATTATTGCCGAGAATGCAGAACTCATGGTTCCAAAGGCCAGCAAAGAAACCATGAGAACTCTGCATTGCTCAGGCAGACACTTTCCTCGGTGTGCAAAGAGCCAGGCTCCGGGAGCAGGTAAAATCTCCATCCTGGTGTTTCGGTCAACCTGAGTTTTCTGCTTTGTGTTGTGAAATGGGGAGGTAGTCTGAGGCCCCATCTGGCGTAACTGCCCACATTTTGTGTGGTGCTTTTTCTCTTCTACTTTCATTTCCTCTGGTAACGTTGGGCAAGTCTGCTTGCCTTGCAGAAGCACCGTTTCCTTTTCCATGATTATAGTACCCATCTTTCTGGGCTCTTGGAGGGTGAAATGGAATCATGACTGAGGCCTAAGCCCTGTGCCTGATGCACAGCAAGGGTTCAATACCTGGAAGCTAGCCTTATTTTATTTTATTGTTTTGTTTTATTTCTGCCTTTATTTTCTTTTATGTCCAGTTTTCTCTATTTGCTTATCTTCAAATCTAATTTTATCATTTGATCTTTTCATATTTTATTTTTATGAAGCCACCTTAAATCCTTTCTGGAACAAGGTGTGGGAGGGTAAAAACAAATACAGCTAAATCAAGGTTGCTTTATTGTTAACTTCTGGGTTCCGACAAACTTGCTTTTAAATCACAACAGTGCCAAGTGTTTATTTTCATCATTTTAATTCTTTGTAAAGGTCTCTGCAGTGGACATGATCATCTTTTATGTGAGAAAGCAGGTGAAGGGTTTAGACTGCTGCTCTAAGGTTTCTCTGTTAGTGATCGGGCAGCTACAGTTTGAATCCTGAAGCTGTCCAGCTTGTGCTTTCTCCCCCTCACACCCCCTTAATTCCATACCCTCACCTCTTGCAAAAAAATAGAATTCTGTTACCGTTGAGATCATAGGCAATATCTCAGGGTATGAAAAAAAGAACTGTATCAGGCTTGGGAACCAGAGTCTAGCATTTTAATTCATTTATATGTCAGACATTTATTTAGTGCCTACTATAAGCTGGGCACTGAACCTAGCCCAGGGGATTCAGTGATGAGCAAAACCAGTGTGGGAGTATATAGTCTGGTTGGAAAGGTAGACTTTAATCAAGTAATTGCAAACATAGGTACTCATCTTTGAAAAGAAGAGCAGGCAATTATGGGCAGGCTTGGCTGAAGGAGTGGATCTGCTAAGGGTATAGAGTGTCAGGGAAGCTTCTCTGGGAAAATGATTAATGAGCTGAGATACAAATGATGAAAAGGATTTAACTGGGTGAAACTAGGTGGAAGCGATGTAGGGAAAGGCAATGGCATATGCAAAGGCCCTAGGGCAGGAGAGAATACTGCATGTTCAAGAAACGAGGGAGGCTAGTGTGGCAAGACACAAAATGACACATAGTGGTTCAGGGTGCGTGTGGCAGGAGGCTGGTTTTTGTAAGGGCTGGAGAGCATGATAAAGAGAGTGGCTTTTATTGGCAGAGCACTGGGGAGCTATTGAAAGTTTTACTCAGCAGATTAGTTCATCTGATTTCCACCCTGGGCTGCAGGGTGGAGAGCACATTGTAGAAGGAAAGAGGGGGTCTGGGGAAGCCAATTAGGAGGCTGCTGTAGGAGTGCAGGGGTGAGCTATGGGAGCGTGGCCTAGGGCTGTGGTAGGGATGCTAGGTGGTACATGGGTTTAGGGAGTTTGTTGGGCCAGTGGGAGCCTGAGGGAGGGGTAGAGAGTGGGTGGGCCAGGACTTCCCAAGAAGGTAGAGCTAGTCATTTTTATTTGTTTACTCAGACCTAAGCAGAGGTGACAGGAGCTTTGGGCTAGCAGATGACATACCTGTGGTTTATGATTACTTCAGTTTTACCTCATTTTCTAAGCAGTGGCCACAGTAAATGTGCCAAAATATCCCATCCCCAGCCTTGCATGGCTGAACACTGGGATCCTGGAACGTCAGGGCTGGGGGCCCCACTGCTACCCTCATCACCCTGGCTGCTCACAAGGCCTCATCCGGTAGTGGAAGGCATTCCCAGAAGTTTCTCTACTCAGAACTGAGGGTGGGTGTGGCTTCATTCTGCTGCCATTCCTCCCCGGGCCTAGGACTTTGACTCCAGCTGGCCTTACTTAGTCTTATGGTCTGATGTTATCGCAGCCTGGATTGATGCGGTGTTTTTTGAGGTGAGACTTAACTCAGTTTATGCTTTTAAAATGTTGAGTGATTCGGGAAGGAGTTACCAATAAGTCAGCAAGTGCATTTTCTATGGCTGTTGTAACAATACCCACTAACATGGTGGCTTGCAAAACTCAGATTTACCCTCTTAGGGTTTTTTAAGTTAGAAGTACGATGCTGGCTTCGCTGAGCTGACATGGTGTCCGCAGGGCTGATCCTTCAGGCAGCTTGGGAGAGTCTGTTTCCATTCCCTTCCGGCTCCTAAATGCTGCCCACATACCTCTGCTCCTGAACCTTTCCTTTATCTTCAGCGCCAGCCGTGTTCCATCCCCCGGCTTTTCTTCCAGTCACATTACTCCCGACTTTTCTGCCTCCTCCCTCTTCCACTTTTAAGGATCCTTGTAATGACTTTGGGACCACCCAGATAATCCGGGATCCTCTCCCTAGTTAAGGCCAGCTGGTTAGCAATCTTAACTCCATCAGCAGCTGTGATTCTTCTTTGCCATGGAAGGTAACATAGCCACAGGTTCTGGGGAATAGGACAGGGCATCTTTGGAGATTCATTTTTCTGCCAACAACTCAGTGCCTGCTGGGTATAGAAGACTTATTTGGTGCAGCTTCCTTTGAAATGCTCAAATAAATGCTCCTCCACCATCTTCTCAATGCAGCTGTTGTTCAGCCTCTGTTTAAATATCTCCTGTGATGGGGAGCTCACTCCCTTCCATTTTTAGTGTGGACAGCTCTCATAGTAGGGAAGTTCTTTGTATGGTCTCGCGTTGTCGATACAGAGCCTCCATGCTCTGGTCCTGCGGCCTCCTGGTGTCTTTCTGGTCGAGTCCAGGCCTTCTCTCTAAGGGCTTTGAGGATGGCCGCCATGCCCCTCCTTGCCCTGAGAAGGTTTTTGGGCCAGAAAAATGATGCCACCAGGCTCTGGGCTCATCCAAAGTAGTTCTTGCTTAGCCATATGCAGCCTCTCGTCTGCTTGCAGAGCTCCGCAACGGCCAGGTGCTCACGGTTCTCCGGATCGACAATACCTGTGCGCCCATTGCCTTTGATCTGGGAGCTGCTGAAGAGCAACTGCAGACCTGGGGCATTCAAGTGAGTGCTGATTTTGTTGAGTCCCCACCATTTTTCCTTCCATCCACCCATCTACCCATCTGCCTGTTGCCCATCTATCTTTTCACCCAGTTATTCATAAAATACTTATTATTAAACACTGTGCTCGATATGGCAGGGGATAGAAGGAAAATGTATTAGAACTGTCCTCTCCTCCAGATTAACTCACTCCCCTGGTGTGTGTTTCTGGGTACCTGTCTGGTGGCAGGCACATAGCTGGGCACTCAGTGCTATAGAGGTGACTAGGACCCAGGGCCTGTGCTCACACTCACTGCTTATAGAGCTCAGTGGGGGAGATGGACATGTGCCAGGTCCGTCAGGGCAGTTTATAAATGCCGCAGTACAGGAATGTATAAGGCATTGAAGACATTCATAGGAGAAAGTGACAGATGCACCTAGGGGAGCAGTGGTTATGAAAGCTTTGCAGAGGAGCAGATACTTGCTTTGGGATCTTGAAGGCAAAGTAAGAGTTTTCTGGGTAGGCAGGAGGAGGGGCATTTGAGGAGACGGAACTGCATATACAAAGGAGGGTACATGAATTCATTAGAGAGTGACGCAGTGCCTTTCAGTATAATGGTTTGAGGCCTGGGCTTCACAGATCCCTAGATCTGACTGCAGATTCTGCCCCACTGCTCACTGCCTGTGTGACTTGCAGCAGGCGATGTAAACTCTCTGAGTTGCAGTTTCATCATCTGTAAAGTGAGGGCAATATTAATAGCCATTACAGAAGGTTTTTGTGAGGACCAAGTAGAATAGTGCTTGAGGAACACTTGCCCTGTCTCTAGCATGAAGTATACATTCAATAAATTGTAGCCATTGCTCTTGTGATTATGTACCCATAGGTGTGGTTTCCTCTTCTCCCAAAGCCCCCAGAATCCCCAGGCATTTCCCTGCCCTGCGCAGTGAGGATTACTTATGCATGGGGAAGATGCACTATAATTTTACCCTGAAGGTTTTAGAGTTTACTTCTTTAAAACTGAATAGTGTTATTGTTTAAAACAACCATTAAAGAGGAACTTTTCAAGTGGATAGATTTAACCCCACATTGGCACAACAGCTAGTTTCTCTTCCCACACCTCCTTTCAGCTTTTGTGCAAAAGGATATTTTTTCTTAAGCATCGTTTTCAGATGGGGTTTTCTTAACTAGTGAGTGGTTTACATATTGCTCTACCATGTTCTTAAATACTGTCTTTAATGGTTAAATTCTGTTCTCTTAACCAGTGTACTCTGTAGGGCCTTTATGTGCTACAGCATTTTTGTATGGTCAGAAAGATGCGGGTTTTTGGTACTTGGGACTGTGTAACTAGTTACTGATATTGCAGTATTGATAATAGCACCTGTGTATCAAGTGTTCACGATGGAACCAGCACTGGGCAGTATACATATACACTTAGATACACATGTCCATTTAAGAGAGAACCGACTATGGTAGGCAGAATAAGAGCCCCTCAAGGATGTCTACATAATGTGTATATACATAGTGTAGATATATTTATTGTATAATGTGCATATAAGTATTATCTTATAATATGCACACGACCCCCACAAGGTGGGTACTCTTATCATGTTTATTTTACAGAGGAGGAAACTGAAGCTCAGAGAAGTGGGGTTACATGTTTCAGGTCACACAGCACTTGAGTGTCAGGGACAAGGTTTGGACCCAGGGCTGGCTGGCTCCAGGGCTTATGCCTTAGCTGTCAGTCTATTCTGGGTCTGCTGTAATATACTAAGTCTTGGGCTGTGGGGATCCCTTTCCGGATGTCCTCTTGGGTCTTGAGCCATTCCACCTCCCCAGTGATGCCCGTCCTTCCCTGAGCCAGGAGCTATACCCTCTGATTGCCCCTCAGTGCTCCAAGCTCCTCGTTCTGCCTTCTGCAGCAGCCTGGAACATGCCTGATCCCCCTTCCACGTCATAGTCCCACGAACAGGACGTGACATGCTTGCTAGCAGGAAGGATGTGGGCAGTGGCTCTCCTTGTCTGACAGATCTCTTTCCTTTGGCTGGCCAAGCAGGTCCCGGCTGACCAGTACAGGAGCCTGGCTGAGAGCGCCCTCTTGGAGCCCCAAGTGAGAAGATACATCATCTACAACTCGAGGCCCATGAGGCTGGCTTTTGCTGTGGTAAGGAGGGAAGTGGGCCCACCCACTGACGTGCCGTGGCTCCTGTGGCACTGCTCAGTTTGGCATTGTGTCCCGGAGCCTGTTGGTATGGGTAAGGGGTTTGGAGACTGGTGGCCCAGCTGCCTGGGGGAGAGCAATACACATGGACCTGGATTTAGTGTAAGAGGAAATTTATGGGCGAGTTGTAACCAGGTAAAGGATGGGAAGCAGAGTTTGGTAAGGGTGGGGGCTGGGGATCTGCAGACCTACCACTGAGGCTCTGGATTCAATGTCCAGCTTTGGTTAAGACTTCTCTTTTTGGGACTTGGTTTCTCCATCTGTTCTACAGACAGGGCCATTTCATCTCTGATCATATATAAGGGTGTGTATATGTGGGTATCCACACATATACATATAAGCTTACACATACATGCATACACACACATACATACCAGTATTAGAGCCCAGGCTGTCTGGTTTCAGTGTCTGTCATCTTAACTGCTGTAATTTGCTGTTTCTCTGTATGTGTGATGGTCAAACTGCACTCCTGACTCCCATGTCCTGTTTATAGGGTAGGGCAAGGGATGGTAACTGTCATGTATTAATTTCCTAATATGTGCTAAGCTGTTATATATGTTATATTTTTAACCTGTGATGTTATAACAATCCTGTGATATTGATATTATCCCCATTTTACAGGTGTGGAAACTGAGGCCCAGAGAGTCGTCAACAGAGTTATAACTTGTCCAAGGCCACTTAACTGTTGAAGGATCAGTGTGGGCTTCTGACTCAAATTTATCTCATTCCCAAGCCACTTGCCCTTTTCTTTTTTATTTACAATCAGGATAAGCAAGAATTCAGAGTTGCCATTCTAACTCCTTTCCTCTACCTTTGCTCATGAACAAGGAACAAGAACTTATTCTCTTGGGCCCCCATCAGTCTTATGCTGGCCTTGTAAGGAGGATGCCAGAAGTGTTGATGGGTGTCCCTTTAAATGGAGCTGCTTTGTTTGTGGACTGGTGTTCCTAACTGTGCTCTTTCTCTGGTTTCTCACAGGTTTTCTACGTGGTGGTGTGGGCCAACATCTACTCCACCAGCCAGATGTTTGCCCTGGGGAACCACTGGGTGGGCGTGCTGCTTGTGACCCTGGCTGCCATGAGCTTGACACTGACTCTCGTGCTAATCTTTGAGAGACACCAGAGAAAGGTGGGACATCCAGAGACCCCAACCGTGCTCCCTCCAGAAAGGCTGTGTGGGCAGGAGAATTCCAAATCAGATTTTTCTCTTTTACCTGCTTCAAAGCATTTCTTCAATGATGAAAATGCACACTGGCCCGTGTGCCCAGTGATGAAATGAAAGCAAAGCACATGTGTGATTGAATCCTCTGCTTTTCCTATCTAACACCCATGGGTTGTTTTTCTGGAAGTAAGCTGTGCTTTAACAGTGTCTGGGAGTGGGAGGAGGGCACTTAGTGCCCTTTGGCACACCTCCTCTCTCTGGGTGCCCACGGCAGCCTAGTGAGTGAGGAGGAGGTTACCCAGCCCACCTTGCAGCGCTCGGTACCTGAGGCTAGGGTTGTAAGAGGTGGGCAGATGCTGTCCTGTGCCCTGCTGACAGTTGTCTCTCATTTAATCCCAGCAGCAGCCTTTGAGGTAGAGAGTAGGTGGTCAGAGAGTTTAGGTAACGTGTCCTCATCCCCCTGGGGGCGGCAGAACAGGGGTTCAAAGCCCGAACCCTCCGATTGCTGGGCTCATTCATGAGGGAGGCGGATACTGCCTAGCTGAGTATGTGCTCACTAATTGTATTCTGCTTTTTCAGTGTCCGCCTCTTGTTACTTACTGGGCATTTCATGTATGGTAGATCATCCACTGAACACTTTACATATGTTAACTCATTAACCCCCGCTCCCCACCACCCCCCGTAAATATCTGTGTGGAGGTTTTTATGCTCATTTTATAGATGAGACTCTGAGGTTCTGAAAGCCTCAAGGAGTAGTCCCAGGTCATGCTGCTAGTAAATGGCAGAGCTGGATTTCAAGGTGTGGGCACTCAGATTCCAAGCCATGTTGTCACTCGGTACCCTACTGTATCGGTATTCTGTGGCTGCTATCACAGGATTACTGTAAACATGGTGGCTTCAAACAACATGGATTTATTACAGTTCTATAGTTCAGAAGTTTGACGTGGCAGGAGCCTTTGACTTTTCTGGAGCCTGTATGTTTCTTTGCCTTTTCTGGCTCCTGGAAGTTTCTTCCTCCATCTTCAAGGCCAGCAATGGTGGTTGAGTCCTTTTCATACCTTTGACTGAGTTTTCTGCTTCCCTCTTCCACTTTTATGGCCCCTTGTGCTTACACTGGGCTGCCTGGATAACCTGGGACAATCTCCCGATTTTAAGGTTAGCAAATTAGCAACATTAATTCCATCTACAACCTTAATTCCCCTTTGCTGTATAATGTAACATATTCACAGGTTCTGAGGAGCAGGCATCTTTGGGGGACAGTCATTCTTCTACCATACCCTCTGCTGCCTTCTCAGCTGCTCAGGATGCTCCCATAGCACCTGGCACAAAGCTGGTCTTTCAGACATTTAGGAAACATCCAGTTCTTGCCTGGCTCAGGAGAGTGTGGGATATTGAGAAATGTGGTCAGGGTTTGGGGTTTGAGTTCCATTTACTTCCTGTGCTCACAGGGACAAGTGGGAACTTTATGGCTTAATTGTCCTAAAAGATCAATGTTGGGCTTTGCAACAATGCTGACAGAATAATGCTGCCCTTGGGTTCTGTTGAGCTTTCACAGCCCTTGTGCTTGGCCTATACAAAATAAAATGAGCTGGTCACTCCTGTAGCAAGAAACTTCTCATGGGGAGAGGGGAAAAAAAGCAGAGTATTCTGCTTTAGCAAAAGCAAGCTGAATATCTGGCACCTGGCAGGTTCTTTCTTCAATGACACAGAGGTAATTAATGCAGTTTTGGGCATGCCAGGTGTGGCTCTCTGCCTCCTTCTGTCCCTTCCTTCCTCATCAGCTGGTGTTTATGAAGCCCCTGCAAGTACCAGCTAATGTTCTAGGCACAGGGCACAGAGTGGGACCCTGTGTCTTTGCTCACAGGTGCAGCATGGGGGCTGCAGGGATGCAGTGATGCTTCTGTCATCGCCATTCGCTAGTTCAGGGAGCCCCTCCAGGGTCCTTTCTAATCATGACAAACATTTCACAAGCACCTACTATGTGCTCTGTTTGGGGCCTGATATTTATGCCCTATAGCAACCTGACAAAGAGGAAGGATGCCTCTGTCATTTGCTGACTCTGCAACCTGGAGTAAACTCTTACTTAACCTCTCAGGGCCTTAGTTTCCTCACCCGTAATTGGGATGATAATTTTAGCTGCCTCAGGATTATTAGGAAAATTAAGTGACTTAATACATGCAAAGTACTTATAACAGTACCTGTGGTAAAGTAAATGTCAATAAATATTAACTGTTGCCATTTGTGACTCTTTTTGCCATTGGGGGAAACAAAGTTCAGAGAGGTTAAATAACTAGTCTGTGGTCACACAGCCTTCCTCAGATCTTCCTTTGGGCCTCAGCTCAAGGACTTCTTTCTCCTTGGATCACTCATCCCTCAGGACCATACAGATTCCCCTTCCTGACCATTGTCCCCCTTATAGTTAGTGTCCCACAGGCATAACAGAACATCCCTGAGAGCCTTAGCATTTTGCATACACTTCTTTGTTTATCTCTTGTTTGGGGCATTATTAGCCTCTATCAGGATTTGTATCCCCTACAGAGTATCCCCTGTAGCACATTTCCAGTACATGTGGAAAGCTCCTAAAATATTTGTCTGTGGCCACCACAGTCCATTGGAAAGCAGGATGTTGTCTGTTGCACCTGACTGTGTCCCAGGCACTGGATTAAGTGCCTCACACACACAGTTTCAGTTAAATCTCACCAGAGTCCTGAGAGGCTGGGATACTCTTTATCCTTATTCTACAACCAAAGAAAGCAAGACTCAGAAAAGGGACATAACTTGTCCAGGGCCACACAACTGGGAAGTAGTAGAGCTGGGCTTCAAATCAGGGCTGTCTGACACTGCTGAATTTATTGTCCCAACAACCCACAACCCCATTTTATAGGAGAGGCAAAGATGACCTTGAAGATGAGGATTGTCCCATGGCATCTAGGGGTAGGACAGTATGTGGTTATTGCTCAAGGCCCCAGAGCTTCCTGGCAGCATGGAGGTCCGGCCACGGGGCTGGTGTTTGTCTTACAGGCCAACACCAACACGGACCTAAGGCTGTCGGCTGCCAACGGAGCCCTCCTGAGACATCGGGTGCTGCTGGGGGTGACAGACACAGTGGAAGGCTGCCAGAGTGTGATTCAGGTACTATGCCTTGGAGTGACCTCCCCTCGAGGGCCCATTTTTGGGCTGCACTGATGGGGAGAGGTGGCTACATGCTCTAGCCTGCACAGTGTCTCCCAGAACCTGCTAAGGAGATGCCATGGCAGCCCTGCCCTTCCTTGCTGTTCAGCATTTCTTCCTGGAGACCCCTCTCTGGAGTGGCCTAGAACCTCACTGTCTGGAGTGGCCTAGAATCTTCCTCTCTGGAATGGCCTAGTGCCCTCCTCTCTCGAGTGGCATAGAACCTCCACAGGGCAGGGCTGAAAGGGAAGCTTGCAGTTGTACAAACTACACTCTTCATTCAGCATTTATCCAGCAAACAGATGGGACTTCCTCTGTGCTAAGCCCTTTCTTGTACTGAGGGGACCATGCAAGGTCCCTGCAGAGGTAGGTCAGACCTTGAAGGCTTTGCCCTCCTGGCTGGATTGTTTCCTTTGTTCTAAAGACAGTGGGGAAGTCTTGAGTCCCACAGTGGTTCTAGGACATAGCTGTGCCGGAGAGCCTCTGGTCTCTGGATCCTGGCAGGGCACTGCCTGGTAGAATTGCTAAATTCCCTCTGCACCACATCTGCATTCTCACCAGTCACCCTCCTGCAGTGGGAGCCTGAGGGTGGGTGTGTGGGTGGGACCTGGAAGAAGCTTCCTGTTAATTCTGCAAATATTTATTGCAAGCCTTGTATGTGCTAGGCACTGTTCTAGGTACTGAGGCTGCAGCTGAGAACAGACACGCAGGTCCTGGTGTTGAGGGAGCCTAGCACACCTGAGAGGTATAGGGTGTAAGAGGATCTTGTCCAACAGCAGTGGGTGAGCTCAGCGGTGTCACAGATTTCTGGCAGTTCAAATGTGACCTCATAGGCTGGGAACTCCTTGAATCTGGGGATCCTTTAAGCTTAAGGGATCCATTTGTCCCTGGATCTTCTTTGTGAATTGGCACCTAGGAGTGACTTGGCAAGTGTTGGTTGTGTGCATGGATGATGGATGACTAGTGAATGGATGCATCTTTAAAAATATAATTGGGTTCTTTCAGTTTCCAAGTAGTATCTTGGGATGAGGTAATATAGTATCTTGGATTTTCTTTAAAACCATTGCAGATGGGGTAGGGTGGGGGATGGAGGAGTCTGGGGGAAGTAATGGGTGTGGGTAGAGATGAAACAAGAGTAGCCACGAAGGGGTAGCCTTTGAGCCAAGATGATGGGTAGCTGGAAGTTAATGACTTCATCTGCCTTGCTTTTGTATATGTTTGAACATTTTCATAATAAAAAAAAAGAAATTCATTTAAAAAATCTTCCCTTGGGGAGGAGACAATGGTAGTGACGAGTTGGCAAGAGGGATGTGACCTTAGGTGCCATGGGTCAGTCATGGGAGGAGGGTGGTCTGGGATCCAGAGGAGGTGGCCAGTGGATGGAGGTGTGAGACTCAGAGCTTGGGTTGTGCTGTGTGGCAGGTGTGAACCCAACAAGATTTTCTAATGCATGAACATTGGAGGAGTTTAACCTGGTCTGGGGACTGTTGAGGTTGAAGAAGGGGGAGATGATGGTGAGGTGTCTTCTTATCTTGCTCCTCTCCCCCCAGAGCACCCTTTGACCTGGCTGTGGGCAGTGGGGGTGACAATTCTGAAAGGTTTCATTCCTTTGCATGTTGGTTTCCAGACAGAAGAGCAGCTGTCCCCTGAGGAGGAAGGTGGTAGCCCCAGATGGGAATATGATGTCCAGGGCAATTTGGAGTCTATCTGGGATGCGCGGTGGCTTGTGGGAGATGGGGATGCAGCCATTTTGAACATTTTCCAAATTTGCACAAAGCCATTTTTCTAGCAGTCATACAAAGAAGACTTCAACACGTATAGGGAACCTGTGAGAGCAGAATGGAATTTCTGCCAGAGACCAGGATAAATCCACTTACGTTGAGAATCCACTTCCCTCTGGTGGGAAGGCAAGAGGTGGAGGGTGGTCTCAGGGACAGGGAGTTCAAGGTCGGGCTGGCTTGGCGTCTCAGTGATCATGGCTGCTTATCTCCCCAGCTCTGGTTTGTCTACTTCGACCTGGAGAACTGTGTGCAATTTTTATCTGACCACGTTCGAGAAATGAAGACCAGCCAGGAGGTAAGATACCTTAAGTGAACAAACAAAACCCAGCAAGCCAAATTGTATAAAGTATATTACCTCAATGTTGGAAAAATGTCTAAGGAAAAGTTACTTGGAAGGAAGAATATTTATGTGGAATCAGTGGTTGCTTTTGTGTAGGGAATTACGGCTTTTTAACTAATTGCATTTTAGCTAATCTTTTCAACTAATCACATTTTCCACATTTCCTATAGTGAGCATATATTTATTTATAATACAATAATAATTAATAGTAATAATAATAATAATAAAGATCCCAATAAAGGAAAGTCTTCTGTATTTAGAAGACTTTCACTTGTTCAAAGTGCCTTCCTATCATTTATGAAGAAGATTCAGGGAGCTCTTGCTCTGATTCTACAGATGAGAAAACCGAGGCTCTTAGCAGTCCTGTTGCCAGCCTGCTGGCTGGCTCTGCTTGCTTTGGAGCCTGGCCCTCCCGTCTCTGAGCCCTGGGCACCTTCCCCAAGGTCAGCCTCTCCTGGGCCCTGGCAGTGCTGTAGTCGGTCAGGATGGTGGTTTAGCTCTGAACCTGGCCCATTAGTTCCCATGAGGCTTTGGGCAAGGCCTTTGAGCTTCCCTTTGCTCATCTGCAGTGTATAGATAAAGATATACATGTCCCAGACAACTTTGAGGAACACATGAGAGCATGGCAGGAAATATAGGAGCTTTAAAGGACCAGAGGGAATTTCACAGGGAGTTATCTGATCTCTCCAGTGTGGCTTGCTTCCAGATCCTCCTGGGTCTGAGCCTGCAGATGGACCCATCCATTCTCTGTGGGTCTGCAGCTCAGGGAACAACTTGGCCTCCTACATATCATCCAACGTAGGATACTACCCAAGCGCCCTCTGTTTCTTTTGCAGCCCTTGCTGAGAAGCAGATTGAGCCAGCTTTGTGTTGTTATGGAGACTGGGGTGAGCCCTGAGACAGCAGAGGGGCCTGAAAACCTGTTGGAGGAAGCACCTCTCTTGCCCAGCAGCCCAAATCCCCAGGAGAGGCCGTTGATGCAGACGGAGCTTTGCCAGCTCGTTCCTGAGGCTGAGCCGGAGGTAACAGGCACCTGGACGGTCACTGTCACCTTCCTGTGAGGGGTATTTTCGTAGAGTCTGTGTGGGGCCACAAGCTGTGAGTAACACAGCTTTACTGAGTTGGTAGAGACCATACAAATCTGGCCTACTAGTTTTCAGTATTTTTTTTCTTCACACCTGCACTTTAAAAACTACTTTGTAAGAACCATTTTCTACTTACTATTTTTTTCCCCATTTTTTTCAATCTCTTGGGTATTCTTTTTGGTAATTCCCGGGTGCATGGTTGCATGTTGGCAGATCATACCCTACCTAACCCATGACCATGCTGACAAATATTTGGGTCATTTTAATCTACTTGCCAATCTATCATCTATCCAACTACCTACTTAAATTACAGTTGGATATTTAAATCCTGTATACTTCTCTGTTGAGGTCTGTGGGGTCATGCTACCTAAGCTCTCTGTGGGGTATGACCAAGTGCTGGTGGACCAGAAATCTGATAATGTGGTTTGCAGCTTGTGTTGACCTCTTGTTTCCATGAGTACAGAGCCACTGTCTGGGAGACGTGTGACCTCGGGCATGGGTGATGAAGGAGAGCCCTTGCATTTTCTTTTCAGCCAACAGATTTGGGGTTTAAAGGTCCAAACCAGCCCAGACTTTCCTTTCTGTACCCGTGGGCAGTGGAGGGCCTGCATACAGGACTATTAAAAGAGAAAACAATAAATATATTAATCTCTTCAGTTGAATCCCGTTGACTTTTTGTTGAAGACCAGAAAAGATTGGTAAGGTCATGTACTTTATTGTGGCATGCCCGGGTTTATGTGAAAAGGCCTATTAAATATAATGGGTCTTTTAAATTATGTTTTCAAATTCATGCAAAACTATCAGCTATACAGTTTCCTGTCATGAATATCAAGTCACAGTGTGTGTGTACATGTTTTTAAAGCAGCTGCCCTTCCAATTTAGCTAGGGAAAATACAGTCAGTGCTCAGGTCTCAGCATGGGCCAGGCCATCAGAAGTCAGTATGAAACCAGTGCCCGTGAAAGATGGAGAAACGGTTATAATGACCTCCTGCATTTCAACAGACCTTTGTCATGCATTAAATTGTTTAGATTACCCTCAGAGGTATGGATTTTTTCCCCCTTCTTTCTTGATGGGTGAAATAAGCTTCCAAAAGGTCAGCTGACTTGCCCAAGGTCACAGAGCAAGGGAGAATGGGCAAAGCTAAGGGCAGAAGCCAACCTGTGGCTGATTTTCTTGCCACAGTTCTTGGCTTCTTACATTACTGACTTTAGAGTAAATTGGTGAGAAAGACCAGTGGTAGTGCACTGTTTGAAGTTTTCAGTATTTTCTAGCACAAAGGATAACTCAAAGGAAACACTGGTCCTACGAGCTAGGAGGAGTTTTTGCCTTTTGTTGAGTAATGACAATGGTGGTGATATTGATGACATTTACTGGACAACGGGTACTGGGTGTACTATCCATTAGTTCCTTTAATGCTCATTCCAGTTTGGCCAGACAGGTGCTCTGATTTTCTTTTTACTTATTTATTTAAATTTAAATAAAAATTTTTTGCTCCTTTGTCCCCTCCTCAACCCCTTGCACCCCTCAAGCCCATCCCTTTTGGTAACTGCTAGTTCCTTCTCAGTGTCTGTGAGTCTACTGCTGTTTTGTTCCTTCTGCTTTGCTTTGTTTTTATACTCCACAGATGAGTGAAATCATATGGTATTTGTTTTTCTCTGCCTGGCTTATTTCATTGAGCATAATACCCTCTAGCTCCATCCATGTTGTTGCAAATAGCAGGATTTCTTTTCTTTCATGGCTGAATAATAATATTCCATTGTGTTTATATACCGCATCTGTATCCATTCATCTATTGATGGACACTTAGGTTGCTTCCATTTCTTGGCTATTGCAAATAATGTAGCAATAAACATAGGGGTGCATATGTCTTTTTGTATTAGAGATTTAGTTTTCTTCAGGTAAATTCCTAGGTGTGGAATTCCTGGGTCAAATGGTATTTCTATTTTTAGTTTTTTGAGGAACCTCCATACTGCTTTCTACAGCAGTTGGATGGATTTACATTCCCACCAAAAGTGTAGGAGGGTTCCCATTTCTCTGCATCCTCACCAGCATTTGTTATTTCTTGTCTTTTGAATAGTGGCCATTCTAACTGGTATGAGGTGATATTTTATTGTAGTTTAATTTTGCATTTCCCTGATAATTAGTGATATGGAGCATCTTTTCATCTGCCTGTTGGCCATTTGTATTTCTTCTTAGGAGAAGTATCTGTTTGGGTCCTCTGTCCATATTTTAATTGGGTTATTTGCTTTTTTGGGTGTTGAGGTGTATGAGTTCTTTATATATTTTGGGTGTTAACCCCTTATCAGATGAGTCATTTTATGAATATATTCTCCCACACTGTGCAGTGCCTTTTGTTCTGCTGACGGTGTCCTTTGCTGTACAGAAGCTTTTTAGTTTGATATAATCCCACTTGTTCATTTTTTATTTTGTTTCCCTTGCCTAAGGAGATGTGTCCAGGAAAAACTTGCTCATGCTTATATTCAAAAGAGATTTTTGCCTATGTTTCTTCTCAGAGTTTTATGGTTTCATGATTTACATTCAGGTCTTTGATGCATTTCTAGTTTACTTTTGTGTATGGGGTTAGACAGTGGTCCAGTTTCATTCTCTTACATGTAGCTGTCCAGTTTTGCCATCACTAGTTATTGAAGAGGCTGCCATTTCCCCATTGTATGTCCATGGCTCCTTTATCATATATTATTTGACCATGTATGCATGGGTTTATATTTGGGCTGTCTATTCTGTTACATTGTTCTGTGGGTCTGTTCTTGTGCCAGTACCGAATTGTTCTTATTACTCTAGCTTTGTAATAGAGCTTGAAGTCAGGAACCGTAATGATGCTCTCATTTTCCACTTTTACTGGTGAGGAAATAGACTCAGCCAGGTACAGTAACTTGCTCAGGATCTGTCACAATGTGGCTGAGCTGAAATGCCTGTTCAGCCTTTTTTATTTGAAAGCCTGTTCTGCATCAACAACTCTGCTGACGTAAGCAGCATCACTGTAACCCACGCCTTACCTGATTACGTTCAGACTGGATGCAAGGATAAAGAAAGACCTTCAGTACCTCACATAAGGAGTTAACCATTTTCCCTGGAATCCTAACTGCCAGATCTGTGGACAAACTTGAGAGACCAAATGTGCTAATAAGAGTATGCATTAAATGCAATTCTTAAATTCTTATCTGAATTCTTCTTTGCTATTTAATTTTTTTCATTGCAGTAAAATATATATAACATAAAACTTACCACCTGAACCATTTTTAAGTGCACAAGTCAGTGGCATTAAGTACAGTCACATTACACAACTGTCACCACCATCCATCTCTAGAACCTTTTTATCTTCCCAAACTGAATCTCCGTGCCCACTGAACATGAACTCTCCAATCCCCTCCCCCAGCCCCTGGAAGCCACCATTCTACTTTCTCTTTAAATAAATTAACTACTCTAGGTGCCTTATAAAAGTGAAATCATACAGTATTTGTCTTCCTGTGATAAATCTACTTTTTGTAAGCAAAATCACTGTAGTAGGAGGACTTGTCTGAAGAAATCCAGCAGGTACAAATTGAAGAATCCTGCCATCATGAGAATGTTTTCCTCCCTCCACCCCCATTTACCAGTGATTTTCTGCGTGTTATTCTTGACCTCTTGCACAGACTCGAAGATATTTGAAATTGGAAAAAGTGTGTTTGTGTGCAATTGACTGGTATAAATCAGTGGTGAATTTTCTAGTGCTTTGAGGCTCCATAGCTTTTTTGTGCATATTATTATATGAACAAACCTTGGAGATAAGGAAACAGGCTGCAGGAGCCCCACATTGTGAGTTGCATTGCTTGGGTTCCAGACCAGGCCAGGCATCTTCCAAGAGCCCAGGGGAGGGCCTGGCCAGGTTCTTCCCAGTGAGCACCACTGCTGGTCCAAGGGTGTGAGAACCACCTGGCTTTCCCCTTATGCATTAGATGCTTTCGGTTACCCTCACTCTGCTTCCCTGCCTCTTCCAGGAAATGGCCCAGCAGTTGCTGGCGGTGTTTGGTGGCTACTACATCCGGCTCCTGGTGACCTCCCAGCTTCCCCAGGCAGGGGGGACACGACACACGGACTCTCCAAGGATTCCATGCCCTTGCCAGCTCGTAGAAGCACACATCCTTGGCACAGGGTGCTGCCCGTTCCTGGCCAGGTGACCTAGGGATAAAGGTACTCAACTCCTCCAAGACTGAATGAGAAGTCGGGGGCCTCAGGAGCGCAAGGTGCCTGATGGCGAGCCTTGGGTAAGGAGAGAAACATCTGGGAGCACTGTGAAGGCTGTCAGTCATGTCAGCAACAAGGCTGCCTGCTCCCTCTGGGACCGTGCGCACAAACGGCTTGTCGACATCCCATGCTGACCCTTGGCCTTTTCAGACGCTGATGGTTGCCGAGCTGGCCCCTCTCCAACCTATTCTCTGTGCTGCTTAGAGCCATGGGTGGGAATGGAAGGGCCACTCTTCCATCCCTTTCGTTGTCTGGAGAGCCCAGGAAATGTGAAGATGATGAGACTGAGTCAGACATACGTCAAAGCTTGGTGTCCAATGATGCACTCACCCCCAAGCCCTTCCTGTCAGATGGGGAAACTGAGGCTCAGGGAGGACCCAGCTCTTTGTGGCATTGCCTTGGTCCTCTAAAATGACAAGATGCCACTTCTGACCTGAAGAAGTAGATTCCCAGAATGTTCTCCATTTTAAAGTTTTTCTTCCTTTGTATTTTATGAAAAACAGCAGCACCTGTCTTTGTCTGCTGGCACACAGGCATCCAGGAGACAGAAGAAGAAAGCAAATGGCAACCATCACTGTTAATGGGAATATTTGGAAAACAGCGATCCTGTCTGATTTGAGGACTTATTTTGTTCAAAGGCATGAGTTCTGGTAGCTGTAGTTCTGTGCCACAGATGTAGAGCAACTCCCTTGTTTTCTGACACTAACTGTCCTGGAATGAAGGATAGTCTGTCTAATGGAGTTCCACAAATAGCTCAGAGGCTTCTAGGTTCTCTGTTCCCAAAAAGCTTGAAGTCCCATTATTCCATAGGCTCAAATCCTGAAGTCATATCCTGGCACTTAAAGGCTCCTCAGCCTCCAAGACCCAGCCTTCATCTGCTGCATAATTCCTTCATAAGTTGAAACTCTTGCCTGGACTGACATACCAAGTGCTTTCAATCTGTTGGATTCCTATGCATGCTTCAAAGCCCAGCTTTACTTAATGCTTTTTCTTGAAGCTTTTCAACATTAAGCTAGCCTTTTCTGTTTCCTCTAGATTATTAATGTAGCTGCTGTCTTTGTGTTTTATATTATTGGCTCTGTTTTCCTGTGCACATGCCTATTTTTCTAGCTAGACTAAGCTCTCAAGGACAAAGTCTGCAAGTCTGCATCTTATACTTATTTGTGCATGACCTGGACCTGCTAAGGAAAATAGAAACCCTGTGGATTGAGTGCTTTGTTATCTCCTTAGCAGCTTTTGCAAACTGCTCTCTATACGGAGTTGAATGATGAGGTTGGCACAGACCTGGTCTGGTTCTGAATTGTCATTTTTTTGTAAATTTTGGCTGGTCCTCAGTTTACCTATCTATAAAATGGGTAGGTTAGATGATTCTTAATCGCCCTTTCAGAGCCAGAGTTCTGGAAATTTCCAGCTTTTTCTGCTTCATTCTAGCCCTTGGCCTGTCTGTTAGGTCTTCATCGACATGTAGAAGGATCTTATAGGTGTCCCAGATCTGATGCTCCTTTGGACGGAACACTGGCCTATCCAGCAAGAGACTTGGAGTCTCATCCCAGATCTGCTGCTTCCTGGCAGTTCACTCCGTTATAAATGGATCTGGTGAACATGGTATGTAATCATGAGGGTAACTTGCCCTCTAAGAGAGGAGTCTGACGGTTTTCTTTCTCTGGGCTGGAGAAGAGAAATCATGTACAAGACCAGCCCTTAGAAATTGCTGTTCCAGACATTCCTCTTTAGCCAGCTCCGAGGGCAGCTTTGCTCAGTGAGAATTATTCATGAAGGTGATCACTGGCTTTCTCATGTGCCACCGAGGAAATGTGGGCAGTGAATGTGATCAACAGATGCCTATATTTATCATCCAACCATAAAATTCTGGTAAATGTAACGACAGAGAATAAAAATGTGTGTGTTAAATGACAGAGCAGCAGTTTTTTTCCATTTAGGGCTGACTTAAAGAGTCCTCGATGTGTTCTTCCCTGTCTCTTTTTAGAATTTCTGATGGTCTCACCTGTGGGTGGGGCATTCAAGCGTGCCTACAAGGTACATTTCTTTGCACTTACATCTCAGGAAATTCTGTGATCTCTGTCTTACCCACTTTACAGGGTTGCTGGTAGGATCTGATCCACAATGCACATGTGCTCTGAGTTTGAAGGCTCTGTGTTAGCGATATAGGCATGGCATGGTGAGGCTGGTGCGTGTCCTGAAGTGGAGGCCGAGACAGTGGCATAGAGCTTGGATTCTAGAGTCACATTTATTCAGACCCAAGTTCTGCTGCTCAGGAGCAGTATCTTTCCCATCCTTCGATCTCACTCTTCATGTGTGAAATGGGGATAAGACTACTTACCTGGCAGGTTATTGTGAAGATTAAATGATATAAAAAATGTAAAGCGCTTGCAACTTTGAGTTGTAAGCTTGAGTAAGAGCCCAATAAAATATTGATGCATTTTTAAAATCTCTCACTATGTCTTATTCACCATTGGTGCCTGATGTATATTTTTGTCAATGTAGTAGAACATTACCAGTTAATGTTTAGTCAGTCTGCGTCAGACCTCAGTTATTCCAGCACCATGTTGTGTATTTACATGAATAAAGATTCTAGTTAAATCTCTGAAATTCAGTTCTGGGAGACAGGAGAACAGGGAGGTTAAGAGCAAGCTGGTGATTTTGGGCCAGATGCTCATTCTCTGTTCCTCCTGTCCCTCCATTTCCTCAGCTATTACGGGTTTGTGTGATGAGGGGGGATTAATTGAGGTGGTGCATGTAAAACACAAGGCCTGGCCCACAGTATGGTCCACAGTAAAGGCTCCATCAATGATGGCTTTTCTTCTGCAGCTGTCTCACACTATTTGCTACCTGTGTCTATTAGTGCAAGCTTTTAACTTGTTCAAATCTGTATTCTTACTGATTTGGTTAGTTTATTCTCTCAGGAATGGAGGGAGGAAAATCTCCAACCAGGATTGTAGAGTATCTGTTTGTCCTTTTACTTCTGACACGTTTTTTGTTATTACATAGTTGTAAAAAATTGAGACGTAAGTCACATACCATAACATTCACCATTTTAAACTATGTAATTCATTTGTTTTCGGTGTACTCACAGGATTGCACAGCCATCACCACTATTTAATTCTAGAACATTTTCATCACCCTCCCCCTCACCCCTTTGAAAAAAGCCTTGGTGGTGTTAGTAGTCACTACACATTTTTCCTTCTCCCTGAGAGCCACTAATCTACTTTCTATTTCTGTGGACTTTCCCATTCTGGGTGTTTCTTATAAATGGAATTATAAAGATGTGGCCTTTTGTGTCTGTCGTTTTCCATGTTAGCATGATGTTTTCAAGGTTCATCAACGTTGTAGCATGTGTCAGTGCATCACTCCTTGCTAATGGCTCAAAAACATTCCATTGCATGGATTCACCATGTTTTGCTTAACCATCAGCTGGGTTGTTTGTGCTGCTTGTCTGTTATGAATAATGTGGTGAATATGAATAATGAGCAGCTATGTTCAAGTTTTTGTGTGAACTTATATGTTAATTCGCTTCTGAAAAGTTTTGCTCTGTTATTCCTCACATACAAATTACATACATAAATATATACAAATATTACCAATACATACAGAATTGTTAAAACTTCCTGGTGGGTTGGCCCTTTTGTCTTTAGGAAAGGTCCCTCTTTATCTCTAGTAGATTTTGGCCTTAAAATCTACTTTATCTGATACATTACTTTCTTTTGATTTGTGATTACATAGTATATCTTATTCATCCTTTTACCTGTGGCTTATTGGTGTCATTATATTAAGGGTGTCCCTCTTGTGGGCACATGAGATTTAAAAAAAAATCAGTCTCTTTATAACTGAAGTATTTACAATGTCTAATATATTTAATGATACATTAAATAGATTTGGGTGTATTTATCCTGCTTGGGTTTCATAACACATCTTGAATCTGTGATGTGATACGTTCCATCACAGCATCTACCTTCTCTCACCTCCTTCCAGGCTCTGACGATATGTGTTAAGACCTTTTCACTGTATCTCTAAGGCTTTTTTGTGTTTTCTATCCTTTTGGTTCATGATTCAGGCTGAGTATTTTCTACTGACATGTTCTGCTTCCATTACTCTTGTCCTCATTTGTGTTTAATCGGTTATTAAACCTTTCAATTGAGTTCTTAGTTCCAGCTAGCATAGTATCATAGTATTCAGTTCTATAACTTAATTGCATTTTAAAAATAGGTTACAGTTTTCAGGGGAAATTATCCATCTTGTCCTCTGTTGGCTGCAGTATTTTAAAGTCTGTGTCTGCTGACTCCAGCATCCCATTCTTCTGTGATCTGTTTCTTTTGCTTTTTGGCCAGATGGTATTCCTGGTAATTTTTGATTGAATGGTAGACTTTTTTTTTCCTTTAAGTGAAACATTGAAGATAATATATATGTATATATATAGACTAGATAGTCCTTCAGGGAAGGATTTTTCTTTTGCTTCTGAGAAAAGTCGGGTTGGGCCCGCTCTGACTGGGGGGTTTCAGTCCTAGTGACTTGGTCTGATTCTGGTTAGCCCGGACTCCCAGGTTATAGCCCTTCAGGGACTTTAACTGCAAACCTGTTTAGAAAAACCAGCTCTCCTTTTTAAAGCCAGCCCTCCTACTCCAGGGTGAGCCCTCAACCTCTGTTTCTTGTTACCCCAAGCCGTGGGTCTGCTGAAAGTTCTGTCCAGTTTTTTGGCCTCTTAGACCCTGCTTAGGAATTGGCAGGTGCCTTGAGGAGGTCAGAAGACCGCAGTGTTCATTTCATCTCTCTGCACTTCCTTTCTCTCCAGGATCTTGGCCCCTTAAGTCTTCACTGCACCAGTAGCTCTCTGAGGCATGTGAGCAGATAAAAGAAATAAACCCCAAACTACAGCTTTTTAAATATGCTTTCAGCAGGAGTGTTCGTCTGATACAAGCTGGTCTGCTGTCATCAGAGGTAAAGTCCAGCTATGGCTTCCATTATTGTTATATAAAAATCCTTCAAAGAACAGTACCACCCTGAGGCTAAGAGCCCTTTGACAAGTTCACATATGTGAACCTCTTCCCATCCTTTCTGTGAAGAGGATTCTAAATGATCAAAACAGCAAGTGCCATTTAAGAGCATCTTTTATGTGCAAAGCACCTCTCTCTATCTGTTGCAGGAAATAGTTCCAAGACATGAGGAACATGGGGTTTTTCTGGAGCAGGAAAGTGGGACCTTGTCATGGGATGTAGTGGGGAATGCATAGGAAAAGAAGAATCTGGAACAGAAGATGGGTGCAGGGGATGCAGAGTGACAACTGGCAGCAAAACAGGATACTGGGCAATGAGGACCTGGGAAAGTGAACTGTCTCCTCATCTAATTGATACTGTTGGGGACTCTTCCCCATTGGAAGAGGTGCTATAGCCTAGTGAAATGATAATCCCTTTCCCCCCATAACACACACACAGAGCAAGCCCCCTTGTTTCCTTGTAGCCATTGATTTTTACCTTTCCCTGCTGCGTATCTCCAGCCTCCTTCTGCATATGATCACCTAGATGTCCTATGGGCTCCTCCAGCTTGACATAGACCAAGATGAAATGATCTACTGTGTATTGTCAACTTGGCTCTGTTAATACCTCCTTCTCAGTTCTCTGCATTGCAAAAGAATCCAAGAACCTCATATTCTACAATCTTATTTCCTTGTATGTTTCTGAGAAATATATTTTAACTCAGGGCTCTCTTCTCCATCTTAGGGCTGCTGCCCTAGTTCATACCTGTATTGCTGTTTGTCCTGATTGCCTAGGCAGCCTCTGCTTGGGTGCCTGTAGCTGTTAGGGTTCAATCAGAAGACAAAAAACACAGGGTAATCTGAAAATGGGAAGTTGAATATAAATTATTCATTA